TACAGTTTTTCTAATTACTGCAATATGTGGTTTCTACTGTGCTTTATCTACGGACTCTGTCACATTCTCTGTGATCCCCACATGAATTACACATCCCCCATGTTCTCTATCTTTTCAGCAATCAAGGATATGAAAGGCTGAGAATCTGTTAATTGGGGCCCCTGTTCTCTGGAGGTTTTGCTGGTTTTGCTCAGTATGAAACATGATGCCAATTAAGTTACCTTGGAGATGTAGGAAAAAAAAATTTAGTGCCTGTATTAGCTCATGAGGACTTAAAACCAAAGGAAACACTTTATAGTTATATAATTATTTTATCAGTTGGGGGAGGGGTCATTCAGCTCTTAGGCTTTTAGAGTTTTAATAATTCCAGTGGGAACCAGGTGCATAAATCCCACCAAAGGCTATTTGCCTTGGTGCCAGCTGAGCCAATACTGCACACTGCAACCCCAAGGCAGGTTATAATCACTGCTTTTAATTACGTGTCAGACTTAATTACAACTGTCCAGCTAAGCTTTGCTTTCTGAGTGTTCAGCATACCTGGCAGGCATCAAGGAGCCAAAATTCTTTTCCTTGTTTTGGACAGCCTGTTTTGGGAAGTGCATCCAGCTAGAGCTGGTGGTGATATCCCACAGCTGGATGTGGAGCAGGGGGTTGGGAAATGAGTCAGAGGAGTGGGCTGTGCTGGGCTGGATCACTCACTGCAGGAACCACGGGAGCGGCCAAAGGTCAGCAGGAGGATGGGGAGAGTCCGGCCAGAGGCGAGGAGGTTGAGCCTCCCAAAAGCTTTGCAGCAGGAGCAGTGACCCTTGCTTTGTTTCTGCAGGTGAGAAGGTTGTACTGAAGGCAGAGGGATTGTTCTGATTTACTGTTGCTGGAGAAAAACCAGGAGTGGGCTGAACTGTGCAAAGCTACCAGCTAACAGCAGTGTGCAGTCCAGAACGGGAGGTGTGAGATGAGACACAGGAAGGTCGAAAGGGCAGCACAAAACTTCCCCCAGCTAAAAACCATCCAGCATTTTCTCTCTCTGTTAACACTCCATTGCTTATGGTTTAACTTTGTGCTGTTTCACAGCATTGGTTTAGGACAACGATCTCAGCTGAGACCAAAGGAGGTGACACACGTTTGCTGTGCCTTTCAGGTAATGGATGACCTTTTGCTCAATTACACCACAAGCATCATGTAGGCTCTTTCATCCTCTACTTATTATGGGCCACATGAAAAAATCCCTTTAGATTTAAAGCCTGAAAAAGCATCAGCAATGGGCAGGAGCTGGAGGTGGGTCTCGGTGACAGAAAGCTGCTGGGGCTTGTACTCAAATGTTTGCTTCAACTGCTGCCCTCCCTCCCCAGCTTCCTCTATTCTCACAGGTATTGAAAAGCTATTTTCAGAGATATTCTACCTTTATGTGGCTCTGTCACTTTAGATAACTTCCTAGAAGATCTGAAATACGACCTGCAGGAATTTCAGCAAGGCAGCAGGGTTTAGCTTTACACTGGAGCAAGAATTCCCCGGTAAGGGGGCATTTGTTCAGTTTTCTGTGTTGTTTGTGCAGTTCCTGTGCCTGGCTGCTCTAAGCTGAGCTGATGGTGGTGGTGACCAGGTGAGGCAGGAAGGATATACACAAAAATCCATGAGAGCCCCTGGCTGCAGTCCAGCCTGGGGACCTCTGGTTTGGGTTTGGCTCAAGGCAACCTCTTTAATGGAAATGGGGCTTTAGACATCAAATTATTGTTGTTACCTGAATATACACTTCTGCTTTTTGTGTGAGAAAACCTTTTTCTTGTGTGGTCAAACCATCCCTGGAGTGTCCAAGGCCAGGCTGGATGGGGCCCTGCCCTGGTGGAAGGTGTCTCTGATCTTTAGATCATTCAAAAGATGATTTTGAAGGTGCCTCCCAACCCAAATAATTCTCTGTGATTCTGCTTACCTCTCTAAGCTCCCAATTCTCATTCTCAAACCACATCATGGTGAGGTGAAGGCTGTAATTTTTCTCCTTCACTAAGAACACCCAGGGGTTTCTGGTGTTTAGCACAGGTGGTTCCATTCCTTTGCCAGTCTGGAGGTTGTTTTGTGGCCCTCCATTCCTGAGGCAAGGTCTAGGTCCAGACAGAAGGTAAAAGCCCATACATCCTTTATTTGAGCATTTCACAAATAAATTACAAGTTTCTTTGCAACCACGTCATAAATCAAAACGTTTATTTACACCTCAGAAACAGCAAGCGATTCAGCAACTAGGGCCCAAAGGAATGATTAACTGGAAAAGCAGCTGAATTAAGCATCTTGAAAATCAAACAAAATGTTTTCCTCCTTGCTTGGACTATTAAAAATGAAAAAAAAAATCTTGATGGTAACTTAAAGAACTTCAAGGGGCAGAGGTTGCTATGGGGTAGGTGTGGTTTTACAGGAGGGTTCTGGCTGAAATGGCAGTAACAACACAACTCCTTTGTGCTGAGTTCCCCACCACAGTCCCCCAGACACGGATTTATTCCTCAGGCAGGGGGTGTGTGCACATCCAAACACCCAGCCTGGCTCTAGACTACATTCATTTCACCCCAAATTACAGAGTGCAGTCACTTGCTGATGCAGAGGAGGAGTGCAATGCTCAAGGCTGGATGAAACTTTCCCAAACAGCTGTCCCACTGAAAGCTCAGGAATGAGGAATTCTGGCTCTAAACCCTTCCCTTTCCACTACTGGTGACCTGCTGATCCACAGACAAGTGAAAATGAGTCAGAAAACAGTGATGCACGTCTTCAACTGATATAATTGTGGTACGAGGGGACAGCTCAGGGCAGCAGAAATACAACAGGAGAGTTGAGATAAGCCTTTTTGGGCTTTTTGCCTTTTTTATTTGCTTTAAATCAGACTGGTTCAGTACATGCTGTCCCTTATCTCATAAATTCATCCCTAATTGAGGGAATTAAACTGCTTATTCCAAGTCCCCTGTGTTGTATCAATCTCCTTCCACCTACATATATATAATATATATATTTATATGTGTATATCTCTATATATCTACATATATACACACATAGCAGTTGTGCAACTAGAAACCTTCCACTGAGATGGGGCAGTGCCTGCATCCCACTGGGACCAACCCAAAGCAGCTCGTGTGTCCTGGTGTGAGGCAGGAGGACAGGGCAGGCAGTGCCTCGTGTGCTTTGTGTAGAGCTCTGTCTGCTCTAAAGAGAATAGCTATAATGATAATTACTAATGAGCACTGGATGTGATTTCTAAAGATTATAGAGCACAGAGTTAACTGAAAGGCAGTAATTGCTATTTTATTTTTCTTTGTGTTAGCATTGGGCTGGATCCCTCAGACAACAGAGTTTCTAGAGATGCAACAAAGGCAAGACAAGAGAAGAGTTTTGCTTTAGACTCTGTGTTCTCAAGCCAATGTGACTTTAATATAATTATTTTTTAAAAAAAAAATTAAATAAGACATTTTAAAACTTATTCCAAAAACAACTTAGCCTTTAGACCAAGTGATGTAAAATTGTTTGTGTACAGAATTCTGCTCCGAGTGGATTAGTAACATTTGAGAAGAAAATTGGCAGCTTTTTCAGTATTTCAGACAAGAGGCCTTTGCAAAGGAAAGGCAAAAGCTGTCGATAGAGTAGATGTCTTTTTGTAGTGATAAGGCATTTAAGATAGAGCCCTACAAACTGCTTGTAAGTCCATAATTTAATAAATGAGGTTTGTATTATAGTAATCAAAAAAATGACTATGCAAGAAACCAGGACAAATTATTTGACCCCATCCATTTCAAATAAAGGTTAAACCAAATTATTCTGGGAGCCTTGGAGACACCTTCAGGGCACGAGTCACCTGTGGGTGGCTGGGTGTGACAAACCCCAGACTGCTGATAAGGTGTGAGCACTCAGCAATCCTGCCACAAACATTGCAGCTTTGCTGTTTGTGGCATTCACATTCTCTGGAAAAATCCCTCCACCCAGGATTTTTCCCCTGGGAAGCTGAGAAGCCTCAGAGAAAAAGGAAAACAATTCTTATCTCATTTGCTTCTCCTGTGTTGTGCTCATGTGGAATGTGTTTGGAGATTGTTTACCAACAGGTGATTGTTTCATTGGATTCTGCTGTGAGTTGTTTTCACTCTTTGGCCAGCCAGGGCCAAGCTGGGTCAGGCTCTGGAGAGAGTCACGAGCTTTCATTATTATCTTTTAGCACTGAGTAAGTATCCTTTCTGTATTCTTTAATAGCTTAGTATTCTTTGATATAATATAGATCATAAAATAATAAATTAGCCTTCTGAGAGCATGGAGTCAGCTGCATCATTCCTGCCTTCGTCAGGGCATTCCCTGCAAATACAATAACTGTTCCCAGCCAACCAGCAAAAAGCAATATGTGGGGAGAGAAAATTCCACCTAAATATGATCAACTGAACCTCAGTTCTGCTGATGGAGCTGCTGTTTGATTTCCAGCAGTGTAAACATGATGAGAACAGGGCTCAGGGACTGTGTTACCAGTGTTCCACCCTTACCTCATTTTCCTCCACACCCAGCAGGAAATTCAGCTCGTTTCCTCTTTTTTTTACTCTTCATACCTACAGCTACTGAACAAAATGGACATTAATAAATGCACACAGGCATATTGGAAAAGCACACACGAGGAGCACAGACCAGGGTTCAATTAGCAAGCACACCAAAAATGAGACTTCTCTCTTGCTAATAAAGTCTCACTGATTGTTATTCCCAATTTTTGTTTCAACAGCACAGAGCCTTTTCAAGTGAAATGACTTTTACAAATAAAAAGTTTTGTGCATGTCACAAAATGATAATCAGCAAGTTCACTGCCTTTCCAGCTCTAGACAGCATTTATGTACCTACAAACACAGACTGAAATAACTGTTGGTGGGGCTAAAACAGATGGGTAGGAATAAGGAGTATGTTATAAAAACAGCAAACTTGGCTGAATTAATGTTAAACATAAGCAACTATTAGAAAATAACAAAAGCAATTTTGTAAATCTTCTGCTTTTTCATGATATTGTAGAAAAATGGATAAATCATTGGTGCTTCTTTGTTTCAGGAAATGGACATTGGTTTTTTGAGCCAGAGGTGACACCCTTTATTCAGGTAGGAAATTTCAGATTCTGCTGTGGTTCCTCGCTCGTGTCACACCATGAACGTGCCAAGTCTGTGTTAAATGGGGAGAAACATGAACGTGGCAGCTTCATCTTCTCCTGGCACGCCTGGGTAGGCCAGGGATGGGCTCCCTGGGGAGGCTGGGACACTTGGGAAAGCTGGGAGGCTTTAATGTGAGAGCAGAAATAAAGGAAAAATGGGAATGGACGCTTGGATGCACCTCGGGTCAGAGCTTCAGCCAGACTCTGACCTCCTTGCACATCAAAATTTTGCAGTGGATCCAAGAAGAAAGATCTTTTCCTTGGGCACAGGGTGGTAGGAAGAGTGTTCCCCTTGCTCGTGGAGCTCCAGGCAGAAGTTTTCTCTTTGTTCCTCATTTTGGCTGCCCTTGGGATGATTCACCAAAAGATCTGTGAGCCTTGGTTTAAAGCAGGGAAGGGCAGATTTTTCTGGTATTTGACAGAAATGACACCAAAGTCAAGGGGGGTCTTTCCAGAGGTGGGTTTGGCTGGGTGGAGAGAGGAAAAAAGCAAGTAGAAAAGAGTATTTGTGGGGGAGGGTAATATAATTTCTTTTATTCGAGACAGAGGTTTTGTAGCTCAAAGCACAGGGTGCAGAATATCTTTGGGTGCATTCATTGAACATACATGTTGGAATTCCAGAGGTGCCATACAGCAGTTAAATCGTTCCTTTTGGAAAATTTTGCTTGAAAATAATAGATATGTATATATTTTTTTTTAATAAAAAAGATGTGATTGTTGATGGCAAAGCAGCAGCGTGGGATCCACAGAAGGCATGGGCAGGGAGGGAGGACCAAGAGTGTGCCCATGTGGGATCAGACACTTCCCTGCTGGGATGCCTGGAGCTGCCAAAGCCACTCCTGGTGTCCTTGACCAGCTCCCAGTGCCCCTCAGGTGCCACTTTGGTGACACAGAGGCTCCTGCAGGGAGCAGGGGCAGATTTCACTTGGTCAGGACTGCAGGAGTTAAGCTGGAAGAGAAAAACGGGTCTGAAGGCAGCTCATATCTTATCAAGAAATCTACAGCGTTAGGAAAGCTCACAACACAAACTCATTTTTCCTCTGTTGCTGTTGTTATTACTCCTTTTGATTAAAAAAAAAAAAAGAAGTAAGAAAGAAAAAAACCAACCTGTTTCATATTTGGTATAATACGGGAAGTCAGAGAAAAGCTATTGTACAGCAAATTTTAACCACAAACACACATTTAATATCTAGTGTAGCAATATGGGAAACTAAATGTATGTCTGGACTTCTTTTTAATGTTTCCAAAAATCTTTACTATTGAAACATATACGTGGTGTGGAAGGGATGCTCATACTCTCACTGTAGTAAGGATGCCAGAGTATGACCCTTAATTACTGTAAAAATGCTAACTAAAGAGTGCAGCTGCAAAGTTCTATTGCATAAGGAAGCTTTCTTGTTTAAACTTTAAATAAGCAAGTTTATTAAAATATTCTAAGACACCTTACCCTAGTTACTGGCAAGCTCTAATAAAAGCCACAGTCTGTCACTAGTATACTTTTTGTGTTAATTTTATAAAAATTTGGTGTGAGCTTTGATGGATCATTTACAGTTTATTAACAAGATGATCATCTTCATACAGTTAGAAGGATTTTTTTTTTTTGTTTTTTGACCTTACATGCTCACAGAATAAAAAAGGATCCATATTCATAGAGAACAAACACCCTTTTTTTCCCCATGTCTGCAAATAGGTGTGGTAAGTTTACACACACAAAGAAATGCTCTCGTTACTCTTAACTGGAAACCGTGTGTACGTGTGTATGTATGTATATATATACCCAAAATGATGGATTGGTGTGGTTGTGAGGGTATTTATAGAACAGGGCACCTGCTGGCACAGAGGCTGAGCAGGGATCAGAGCTGCTGCTGGACTCAGCTTCTCACCTGCAGAGTGATCAAAACATTTTGTCACCTGCCCCAGCCGATGTTTCAGCCCTTTGGCCCCTCCAGTCAGGCTGAGCTGCTCGCACTTGGCTGCTCCTCCTGCACCCTCTGGGGCCCAGGGAGAGCAGCTCAGAGCAGGAACAAGCCCTGGGGACTTGCATTTCTTGTTTGCTGAACCTGAGGTACGAGAAGGGCCATGGCAGAGCCCCGAGGTGGCCACGGGCTCTCTCCTCCTGGCCACGCTCTGGACAGCAAACACAGCAGGTTTAGCCATGCTGGGACAGCTACAATTCATCTGTGGCTGTGCTATTCTGCTCCCTCCCTTCTCACCCTCCAGATGAACATTTTATAAAAGCTAAACCTGTGGTATAACTCTTCTCTCTATATAAATATATATATATACATACACTCATACATATACAAATACTAACCCACAGACAAAATATTTTCTGAACAGTTGAATAGCAACAAGTCAACAGATAGAAAAAAAATGGAGTCAATCTGGTTTTGTGGTTTTTTTTCTTTTTTTTTTTTTTTTTCTGCTCCCCCAAGGCGGGGTTTGGATGTCATGGTCTTTTAACATTCAGAGTAAATTTTGAGTAAACCTTGTGTCCTGCAGGAGGAATCCAGGGCCAAAGGACAGAGGGGTGGAGGCTGTCGAACACCAAGGTACAGATTGAGTGAGATTGCAAACTAAACTGGAGCAACTGAGGCCAAGGAGTGAAGAACAGTCATTGTAAACTGCAATCTTCAGAGCTGATGGGTTTTTTTCCCTTCTTCTCGTTGCCATGGCAACTCGGTAGGACAGCTTCAAATGGCAGGAATTCTTACAGACCTAAAGGAGGAGATGGGGGTGAGTATTGCCATGCAAATCACAGGATCTTGAACTCTTTGGGTTTTTTCCCCCCCCAGTCAAATCGCTGGTTAGGTGCGTGAACATTGCCAGTAGTTAAATATTGATTATCTGGGTGCAGAAATCTCCAAGTGGAAAGCCCAAAATGTCATGTCAGAGACCTTTGTGGTGCAATTGTGGAAGATGTGGTGAGAGGCTAAATCCTGAGCCAGGACCTGATTCCCCCCCTGGACACCTCCATCAGTTCCATTTGTGCCCAAGGAAATGCCAGCCCCTCCCTCCCTGCACACCCTGACAAGCAAAGAGCAGACAAACAATATCTTTTGAAAAATAACACTCTAATAGAGCCTTATAGTTTGTGAATATACCAGGGAATAAAAGGCCTGCTGTATCATATTAATGTTGATACAGAAATATGAGATTTTATGTGGGGTTTCTATTAAATGAAGGGAATGTGGCACTTGAATTCTGTTTTAGATGGACACTCTGATAATACCAAGGCAGCAAAGAAATTCAGAAAGGAGAGTCCAGGAACAAATCTAACATTAGCTGTAGCTCACACTCAGCCTATAAAACCAAGGGAAGACACATCAAAACTCAGTCAGCAAATGTTTGTCTAAAATTTATTGTATCTGTACACTTAAAATATCATAATATTGAAATATTGATAGTTTTGTCACCACCACAGAAATGTAATGGTCAATGGCGGATGCTGGTTTGTGCCCTTTAAAAATTTTTAATGATCTGTTTGCCTTTTAGGGCAAATCAAATTCAATATAATTATCAATAAGGCTGTTTTGTTTTATCTTTCTTGTTATCCTGTGAACTGATATCAGTATTGAATTCTGCAGCAATGCAGGCACCTGGATGCCAACACCTCCCTGGCCTCTTCCCTGCAGTGCTTCAGTTCTGGTAAACAAAGGTAAATAAAGCAAATTAAGTGTAAGAAATCCATAGAGGTGCTGATGGATGGGGCTCACTGAAGTGAGAAGTTTAACTGAGATTTCCAAATAGGACAAAATCTGGAATTGCTTGGCACATGGATTTTTAGCCTGCTGCTGAAAGAAAAGGTCTGGCCACAAAATCAGGATCCAGACTCACACATAGGAGATTTATGGTCATGACTGCCAAAGTCTGGATATATTTGGATTAGGGATGCCAGCTAGAACTAAATTCTCATAAACAACCTGATCTCCTGGGTGGTGAAAAGAAAGAATTTGAGACTCTGATCTCACAGACAACCTGAAAAATAGCATTTCCAGATCCCAATGAAGCTTAGTGTCATTAAAGGGCATTTGTTTAATCCTGGCTCAAAGGAACTGACACTGGCTCTGGGATTGATGAAGCTGCTCTGAATCCTTGGGAGATCCTTGGGGGTCTTCCTGCTAAGGACAGGCACTTGGGCATGATGAATGAGCAGCAGCTGTGGCACCGAGCTTCTGTGCAATGCACAGGCTGAAACGTCACCAGAGAAATCTGTCAGCACAAAATTTATAAATACCCCACCAACTCCAGCAGCCAGTGAGCTTCTTCACCAACAGCCTGGAAATAAAGAGCAGGGTTTGGTGATTGATGTGCAAACCTGAAGAAAAGCTTGTATATTTTACATTATATTGACAGACATAATGAATGCTACTACCTTTCATACACACTGTGGGATGTATACAAAAACTAGTTGGTTCAGCTTTAATTATGAATCTTTCTCCTTTGCTATTTTTGTATCTGTTGAAGGCCAGTTTGTCTCTCACAAGGAATTTTTGACCCTCCCTGTTACCCCACCTGCCTCTGCAAGCACCACTCCATTCCTGACTCCTTTCAGCTCAAAGCTCTACAATCCCTGCCCAGAATTTCCTTCACTGAAATTTCTTCTCAACTTCATCCTTTCTTGCCTTTGATCCATTTAATCACATGCCTGAAAATGATGCCTTGGCTCCTGGGACTACCTCCTCCTATAATTTTACCATGATTTCTCTAATCACTTTTCCAGCCTGTCCTTTGGTCGTGTTCCTCCGGTTTATTTTTTTAGGAAACCTTTTTTCCCCCCACTTTGGTTTCTTCCCCTTCTCAGTGCCACCATCCTCTCCTGCTCAGCAATGACATTGGTGCTGACAGTTCAGAGCTCTTACTCTCTTTTCCCACTTTCCCATTTAGTCTAATATGTCAGCCTCTAGCTCTGATAACTTTTGGATGTTTTCCTGACAGCTCTGCACAGCTACAACTCAGCTCTTAAATCTTCCCCCTAAAGCACTCCCTTCTTTGATTGCTCAGGACAACACCATCATCCTGCCTCTTGTTCAAGCCTGAAAGCACAAACAAACCAGAGGAGGTTTTTGTCATGGAATCTCCTTTCTAGGTCTGTATATTTAGGTTATGTCAATCTAGAGGATTCTCTCTCACAGGTTGTCCCAAAGGGCTTTTTGTAGCCATTCAAACACTAAATCCCCTACCCAGGCTCTCACTTAGCAGGTTTGCAGCATCTTTTCTGAACCCTTGACAAATTGAACTGCTGTGTGCTCATCTCCTGCCAACCTTGTGCTCTACAGAGCATTTTCCTGCTCTGCCACTTTGACAAAACCTCTGTAGCTGTGGCTCCTTCACTGTCTCTTTCCCCCTGCACATTATTCCTGGATTTTCCCTGTAGGAAATTCCCTGTTTTTCCTCTCATTCACAGCCTGTGGTGACAGCTTCCCCCGAGGTGTGTTCAAAGAAATCTGGACCCCTTCCACAGACAGCTGTGTCCCAACATCTGCTGACACTTCCACCAAACCCTTGGCATTGGCAGAGGGTGCCAAGACTACTCTGAATTCAGCTAAGCCTTGTGCTAAAAGAATTATTCCAAACACAGCCATTAATGGTGACTGACCCTTTTGCACAGGTGGATTATTTAATAGAGTAGTTTTTGCCTCTGGAAATCAGATTCAACACTCAAAATTACGGTCTGTGAAGTTTCAGTAGACACCCACCTGTCTTGTAAGTAAGTAATGTCTGTAAGTAAGAATATGCAAGATCAAATCTGTCTTGGTTCTTTGTATTGCACAAAAAAACCTGATTGGAAATTGTTCTGTCCTAGAGAACATCAGTCTTTTATTTTCTGTGGTTAATAACAGAGCATCAGTTACAAATTTAATTTCTACAAAGAGCCTGAGAAGGTCATGTGAGGTGTTAATTGGCCAAACATTTGGCCAGTAACTCCCTTAATGCAAAATCTACAGGAATCAAGGATAACCAAAGTATTGCCTGGAAAACTCAAGGTTTATCCTCAATCAAGGATAACCAAAGTATTGCCTGGAAAACTCAAGGTTTATCCTCAATCAAGGATAACCAAAGTATTGCCTGGAAAACTCCACCCTGAATGAGAGAAAATCCACTGAAGCCAACACAACTGCTCTGTTACAAGCTCACTGGGGAGCTCTGAGCCTCTGGTCCATATTTAAAATCTCTCTGTTCTCCCAGCTGGATTTCCAGTGTTCATTATTGTTTCCTGTATAGGAATTGTAGTTTTCTTGTTGGCTTTTCTTTTTATTTATTGTTCCCATAAAGAAGGAGCCAATGAAAGTTCCAGAAATGCTCACACAGAGCCAAATTTTTAGAATCTACTCCTTATCTGAGCCCTAGCTCTAACCAGCTCACCTGGTGACTTTTCCACTCACTTTGATGGGGTTACATTGTTTTAAAATTATTTTTACTCATTATTATATATTTTATAGCCCAGATAATTTACAGTTTGCAGCTGGCAATAGCTCATAAAATATATTAGTATTTAAGGAACACTGTGAGCATAAAATGTGCAAATAATGTGTGCAGGGAGAACATTTGCTGATCAATGAGAACTATTTCTTTTAAGAACTTAATTCCCTGGTAAGCCTGTGCCTGGCATGTTTAGATCTGCACACTAATGATAATTAGGCCGAGTAATTATTTTATTTTATTTTATTTTTATCAGCCCTGTCTCCAGATCTGGCCTCAGCACTCAGGAATTATTACCCACCCTGTGTTCTTTTAGATGTGATTTGACAGAAATTACCTACAATGAGTGATTTGCTGCCCAAAGCACTCAAGCCACGAAATGGGAAGGGAATTTTTGCTCTTATTTTGTCCCTTCCATATTTTTCTTTGGGTATCCAGGGATTCACAGCAGCACTAAGTGAGCACAGCTGTAGGGAATGTATTTCTCCAGAAATCTCTCCCATTTCAGTCTCTAATGTGATCTTCACCAATTTTATCTCACAGTTCTACCTCTTTGATACTTGAGAGACATTCAGCCTCATTCCTTCTGAGATAACAGTGAGATAGCACAGAATTCACAGAATGACTAGGTTGGGGGAGTCCTTAAAGATCCATTTAAAGACTTTAAAGAGAAAGGCAGGGTTACTGGCATGTGTGTATGAATTTTTACTTTTCTGGTCAATGGGCTCAGATAAGAAAACACAGCATGTTCTGACCAGCAGCTGTTGGCATCAGGGCTTTGGCTTTTCAAGAAGAATTTTTCTTCCCTCAGATAAGAAAACACAGCATGTTCTGACCAGCAGCTGTTGGCTGTTGGCATCAGGACTTTGGCTTTGCAAGAACAATTTTTCTTCTGCTGGTCAAAAAAACTGACAAACATTGTGAAAGTTTGTCTGGATCTAATGTCCTAATAGCATTATTAAAAATAATTATACTTAGGTCTAAGTGCACAGTTCAGGGTAGGGAGACTCATGACATAGAAAATTAGATGGAATAAACTCCTCTTTCTACTCAACCAAGGTCTGCTGGCTGTATTTGGAGTTGATGATGGTGGCCAACTCCACAGGAAAGCCCTGAATTAGTTTCAAAAGCTGATTTGGTCTGAGAAGGTGCAACTCACCGAATTCAGCCCAAGTTCCTAAAGTTGGCTTCTTCAATGACTACAGAGACAGCTCCCTGCCTCTGTTACACTGGGCTAACTCAAGGTTTACTCCTCATGCTCATCCACACAACAGAAGAAAATGCGGGGAAAAAAA